AAAAATAATCTTTTATTACATTTGGACAAGATTTTATTTTTTAGGAATCACTGCTTGGCTGTGAGTAGTTGTTGCTTGCTGAATGTTATTCACACTTCCTCCCTCATAGCAAGCTCATGTGTAACAGTCTTAACTTGTGGGATGGGCTGGAACACTCCATTCTAATCCAAGGGCCATAGGTCATTATAAACCACAAATTCTTCCTCCCTAGGGAAGTATTAAGGGATGTGGTCTTTCCTATCTCATTTTTCTGTAATCTCCTTTAGTCTAAAATATGGTTTATGCCACTAATCACCAGATTTAATATATTATAATAATACCTTACCTGGCAATTAATATCAAGAGAAAAATCTTCCCCAGATTGGCACCTATGGAATTTCAACTGTCTAGTTACAATGAGGCATAACAAAAGAATAAATATTTTAAATGCCTGACAGGAAGGAATTTTCCCTATAAGATGATTTTGATGGTCTAGAACAGGAGTTGATAAGCCTCTCTCTATAAAGGGTCAGATGGTAAATATTTTACATTAGACGGTCCTGATAGAATCTCAAACTGCCCTGCTATTGCAGCATGAAACCAGCTAAAAAATGGTACATAAATGAATGGGTATGGCTGCGTGTTTCAATAAAACTTTACTTACAAAAACAAGTAGCAAACCAGATTTGACCCACAGGTTACAGTTTGCAACCTCTTATGTAGAATTTATAATGATTCAAGAGAGTTTGGACCAAAATTTAAATTTTAATGAAATACAGTTATGGCCTTTCCAATGCAAATCACTATACTTGAAGACACCTAGCTGACTCTCAAATTAAATATATCTTAAAATCTTTTCAGGTTTTCCTATTTACTTTTTCTTTGGATTGTACAAATTACAGTGAAGATTTCTAAATTTATTTAAAAAATTAGACAATTTCAGGGGCACCTGGGTGCTCAGTTGGTTAAGCATCCGACTTGATTTCAGCTCAGGTCGTGATCTCAGGGTGGTGAGATGAAGCCCCACACGGGGCTCCATGCGTAGCAGGGAGCATGCTTGAGATTCTCTCACTCCCTCTGCCCCGCCCTGTGCACATGCACGTGCTGGCTCTTTCAAATAAATAAATAAATCTTTAAAAAAAACCAGACAATTTTTATCAACTATTGGAAAATTTGTAAGAGTTGAGGCTACAAAACAGCAGCTTTTCAATTCTATGCTAATTGTGAATTCAATATAATAATTTTTTCTGGGCTTAAGAAGATAGAGTTTACAGAGGATTAAAAAAAAAACCCTTTTCCTTAGAATACTTAAAAGAAAGTCATTTATCACTGGAACAGATCCATTATTATTTTGAATTATTTTTCTGGCTGGTCGTTTAAAAAGCTCTCCTTGTTTGGTATTTTGATTCTATACTAATTCTTGGTTACTACTATGACTTGGACTAACAATATAAGTACTATGTATCCAACTTAGTAAATAATTTAGTATGCAATTTCAGTGTAAATTATAATTCACTTAATTAGTACATGTATAGGTAGCCCCTCTGGTTCTATCGAAGATGTTTAGACTAGATGAATAGTATTTATAAAATTTGATATCTCTATTGATTTAAGGAAAACTGGTAAATGGCATTTAAAAGTAAAACATTTTCTCAGTATAATTCTAATTTTTGTATAATTTTAATTCTAATTCTTTGTATAATTGTAATACTTAAAAGGATTGGATAACTGATTAAAAACTTGTTGACTGCAGACACATGGAAAAAGCAACGTTACCACTATGGTGATACGTGATTCTACTGCATCTTACACTGTAGGACAAGCTATAAGTTATTTGAAAAGTTAAGCATTTGGGTTTTTCATTCTGTGTTTCCCTATCTTTTAAAAGTAAAAGACTAAAGGAAAAGATGTAGGGAAAAGAGTCTTCATTTCAGCCTTTTAGTGAATTTGGTAAGGGTAAGATGATGTCAAAGGAAAAACTGTTTAAGACAAAAGACATTGAAGACAGGAACTAACACAACATTAGACTTCTTCCTTCAAAGATTTCTGAAAACTTCAAAAGGGGAAGATTACTTCACAGACTGGAATGTAAGCCCAGTTGGAACTAAGGTCTATAGGGCTTTTGAGGTGTCTAATGCTAAAAATCTCAAGTTGACTCTCTAGTTAAAAAAGGCTGGAGAGGAGAAAGGAAAATTTTTGTTCTGGAAAAGTGTTCTTCTCTGATGCAAATAGAAATCCATCTTACAAAGGAAGAAGTAGAGATGAGTTGCCCTAATTTAGTCTTTTGGAAAGAGACAAGAACATTATGAATTTGCTAAAAAACTTTTGTTTCTTCTAACTATGACTTTATAAGCTATGAGATATCTTATTTTTTGTGAAAAATTTCCAAGCCCAAAGATATTCACACAAATTAAATTGAAATACTGAAACCCAGTTTTGGAAAGAAGAAGAGTATAGAGAATCTAAATTTTTAAAAAGTTATATAAAAAAGAGGTCCAGTAATTAGTTGGTGCTCCATTTCAGATATTTTATCCATTTTCTTTTTTTATAGCTTTTCTGTTTGAAGAGATGGAAACATTCAAATATTAAAAGTATTCCACAATGGGCTATAAAAATAACTCCCAAATCCCCAAGTGGAAGTAATAAACTTCCTACTAGTGTACTGATTAAATCAGTTCTAATCTTCTGTGAATCTAGTAACAAGAGTGGAATAAACTTTTAGAATCACACTGTAAGCTTCAGAAGAAAGAGAAGGCCAAATATTAATCTGAAAAGCACATTTTTCATTAGCAAAAAAAAAATAATAATGCTAGTAGGAGTTTCTGGGTTTTTTTCCTAATAATGCAGTGAAAATGATAAAAACCATAGCACATATTATTGAGTCCTTACTTCAGCTGTTCTATTTTATTATATGTTTATTATTAGTGACAATTCTGTAAGGTAGGTATTACATTTATTTCCCTTACCATATACAGGAACAAGCATAAAGAAGTGGAAATTTGGTGCAAATAGAATCAAATGTCCTGATTTTGTTGTTGTTATTTAATGAATGTTTCTACATGTGAGAACTGATTTACCTAATACAAATGAATACTAATTCTTTAATAGGATTTGTAAGAATACACAGATTCAATTGGCAGAGTGCATTGTCAATCCTCTTCAAGGATTAATTTGCTCACATAGGGACCGGATAACTCCTAGAAGAGCATTTCTTGCTCTCATCTTAAACATTTCTTATGGCAGCCACATGACTCCTTTTGATGGGAAAGTAACAGAATTTTGAATTTTTCTAAGAAAAATCTTCCATTTTGATTAAAAAAATACTAAGCTAAAATAATGTCATGAGATCGCTTCTCAGCCTTTTGGCTAAGATCAAGTGTAAAATAATGTCACGAGTGTGTTTGCTTTTTTCTATAATCTCTTGTTCAGATTTAGAGCTCAAGTGAAGACTGGTCACATATTATTAAGAAAACCTGAAAGAAAAAGATACACCCACAAGACATCCTGAATTTACTTGAAGTTTATGTTCTTTCACTACTGCAATTGCTGTGCATATGTGGAAAGCATCTATAGTTCCTTTGTTGCATGACTACTTTTAAATCAGACTACTGAAAATAAGCATTTTGGGGATACACATGGGAAATAGCACTTTTCTGAGAATATATCACTTCCTAAAAAGTCAACTGACTATTTTTGGCTCAGAGTTTTCTCTTCAGAAGGTTAGGCACCTATCAGGAATTTATTTGGGTGAAACTGCTTTTAAAAACACCTGGATGCACAAAATTTAATCCCACACAAAATGTTTGCATGCACAAAATTTTAATCCTACACAAAATGCTTCTATGAATGGATAATTCACCTGGAAAGTTTAACTAGCAATTTCTACTCTGCTGACAAATTCTCCTTTGTTGAAACCTAATGGTAGCTATTGAGGGAGGAGAATTTTCTTTTTCTCATACCAAATTTGACTTCAAATTAAGAGTGTGGAATTAAGGTGGTGTCATGTGCTTTTACTGTACTCCTAGCCTTCTACTTAACTGCCAACTGAAGGGTAATCCTACATTTTGTATTTATTTTGCCATTTGACCACCAATTAAGTTTAGATATCATGTGTCAAATTTCCTCATACACACACTGTTTTATGCTTTATTTATATTTTTATTATATATTACATAACACATATGGTTAAATGCTACATGTTTATATTACATATATATATCTAATATTATATACTATATAATCCCCAAGTATATTACTTCTATAATATATAACATGTTATACGAAACATAAAAAAAGATAAACCATTGTGTATAAGAAAATTTATTATATAACTTCTTATGTACTATATTAGAATATGTTTATTACAGAGATTACATTAAACATCTTATGTGTTTCTTATCTTTCTTACTTAAGGCTAAAGATCTGTTGCAAAGACTACAAATTAAGTCTGACCCATTATTTTCAGCCACTGCTCAAACTCACACCTTAATAAGACCACACTGCACTGAAGTGACATTTATTTTGTAAAGCTTCAGTATGTATTCTGAATTTTTTGAAGCATATTCTGAATTATGTTTCTGAAATGGAACTATGACAGAAGAACCTTAACTTGCTAACTGTATTGAAGTCTACTAGAACCACAATGGTGTTAACAGTCAGAAGGCCTAAAGGGTGTATGCAAATTTCAACAGCTAGTGTAAGAAATTAACAAATTTATGGCAAAAAACCTAAAAATCTAAAACTGTCTACTTTCTTCATGAGATAATTAAGTTGGAAATGCTATAGGTCATTTCTAGGAGTCTAGCAAGAAGTTATTCAGTGCTGCTTTTTGTTGACAGATGGAATTTATGTTTAAAGATAGAACTATCAGAATATATAGTTATAACAGAAAAAGAATCTTGGAGATTCTTAAATTAGATGACAAAGGACATTTTAAATATTTTAAAATGTCATATTATTGTAGGAAAGCCAATGTTTCAGTTTATGGAAGCACAAAGTAAAACCCTTCAGGGGATACTTACTCTTTTCTGTTCTTTTACATACTCTATCAATTCATCTCTTGTTCTCTTCACTGCCTCTTCCACAGCCTTTTCACTTCGCTTTTGCTCTTCTATTATTGCTGCCTTAACAGTTTCCTGTTTGTGGGAGGAAGAAAAAAAGTCAGGGAGGTATGCACTATGACATGTTTGTGTCCATTTCATATAAACTAAAACTGCTCTGCAATGGGTCGAGCTCATTCCGCTCAAAGTGTATCTTTAAACAGGAATAAGAATTTACAAAATCTTTTAGGATGTTAGAGATTCCACAGAATTCATTTTTCTAAACCGAGTGAAAGGGAAAAGAAATGGAATAAGTCATTTATTGCAGGGAGCGCCTGACAGACTCCAATGGCTTCCTTACCAACCTTTCATTTGATGTTTACATGATTGATTGCCTTCCTGTACTTTGCACTATCCACATAAGACTTCCAACTTGTGTTTATTCTTCCAAGAACACCCTAATGCTCTAGCTGTTTTATTCACATTTAATTTTCCCATCATACAGTAATCAAGTGTGGTCTGGGTGAAGATTTATAGCTAGTTTGGTCCTTCTGCCAGGTTAAGATGTTGAGAGCTGGACACCATGAATAAGAGGTAAAAATTCCACCCTGTGTGCTAATATTTGAAATGAGGAATCTGGGGAGAAAAGTGGTACTTCCTATTTTACTGAAATTATAATCAAGTACCTTGGAGATTTCAGAATTTCAGATAAGGAGTAAAAAGGCTAAAATTCTGAAAAACAAGTATAATACTTTTCAGAAAGTACATTTTCTGCTAAAATAGCATATCATGGATTGGATGAATGCCACAAAATAAACTTCTTTAACTTGTACTTACCTATATAGGTAGCATCCTTCTTTTACAGGTGATCAGTTAGAAAATGCCTTGAAATTTTGTGGGAGTATTTGCTTCACTTTGTTAGTCTTAAGGACTCTTCACTTTGTAGTGTATGCTTGTTTTTGTTTGGTTTTTCCCAATTAATTTTAGATATGTGTATATAACCCAGGAAATATGAAATAATATTAAGAATTTCCTGTTGTGAATATATTTACTGCAGAAAATTTGAAAATACAGAAAATTATGAGCACAAAATAATACACACATGTCTCCACACTTGGGTATAAAGAAGGTGGGGCTCAAACTGTACATACTATTTTCTAACTGGCATTTTACACTTAAAATATATTTTGAGTACTTAACCCATTATATATTCCTTCATAATATGATTTACATTCCATTGCAGGGATATGCAAGAATTTATTTGATCAATCCTTATTCATGTGTATTATGGTTGTTTTTAATAAAATAAAGCAGTGATGAACATCCATATATGTATTTTTGTGGTGCATGTTAGATATTTCTGTAAGATGAATTCAAGAAGTAGAATCATTTTGGTCAGAGAATATAATTTTTGAGTTCTCTTATAGTTTCTGACCTTTTGTACAAATTTTTTTTTTCAATAAGCAGTCCATGGAAATGGCTGTTTTCTTACATCCTTGATTACATTTTAGTTTTCCTTCTTTGAGGGAGAATGACATCAAATTTTATTCTGTATTTTAAAAAGATTATTATGTGATATTCAGCATGTTTCTAGAAGTATTAGCAGCATACATATCATCTTTTATCATCTGCCTGATCCTATCTCCTCTTTCCACTTCAATACTGGTATGCTCATAATATTTTGGATTCCTTTTGTAAAATAGAAAATGAAGTCACAAATCTACAAATCCCTAGAATGGTGGTAACTTTGAAAATGGTTACCATTTTATCTTTAATCACTGAATACATTAAGATCTAGTTCCACTGATAAAATAATAGAGTACTAAGTTGTTTCCTTAATTATTTGGAAAGACTAAAGTTGAAAACCTATGATAAATGTTCAAAGACAAAAATAAGAACAAATAAAATTATTTAAAATAAAATCATATACTATTACAATTCTTACTGGTATCACACTAATTTGAAATTTGAAAATTTTCGTATTTTGGAAAGGCAAAAAATATTGCTAAGCCCCCTGAAACACAACACATTGATAGTTCTATAGTAGACAGTATGAACATTCACACTATGTGGGTAAATTAAAAGTACAAAAAGCTCCACGTCAGTTCAGGCAGGTTTTGCCAACAGTTGAGTTATAAAATCCTTAGCTTTCAGGGCTTTTGGAATTTTAGAACTGCAGATAAGAACTGTAGACCTGGATTATTTGAATGTAAAAGACAAATCTATGTCACATTAAATATCAACCAGAATTTCTAAGTAGCAAGGGTTGTATCAGTGAATGTGACCAGGCAAAAACATCAATTTAAATAAAAGGGATAGGTGCAGAAAAAACATGAAGAATTAGTTAATTTGTTCTTCCATTGGCTTTTAGGGGGCTGAGAGTTTATTATCTGCTCAATCCACATTTTTGAGGATCTTTTTGCTTTTTGAGCTGATAAGGAACCATTTTCAAAAAAAAAGTTTCTTAATTCAACTCTCCTCTCCAGTTGGGAATTAGGTGACAGTCGAGGTTGTGAAATCCATCCTTAAAAAATACTTGCCAAGAAATAAATTCCTTTGAATATAATACAAAAAGTAAAGTTTAAGCCATCCATTTTCTAATTAGACCAAATGCTGACTTAGTTGGAAATAATTCGTGGATTTTAGGTGCATGTATACAAAGTGCCTGTGAATTTCTGCCTAGGTGTTTTGTTGAATTCCCTACGAGACATGAGAATTCGTCTAAAATAAAATATACCTCACAAGGAAGGAAGATGTGCCATCAATGAGTATATGCAAGTAGGCAATTAAAACGAGTATTTTCCAGAATATTTTAGGAAAGGTTACACCACTGGAACATGGTATATTCTCTAAGGCAGGTTTCTCAGCCTCAGTACTATTGACAATTCTTTGCTGGGAGTTGTGGGGGGACGTCCTGGGGTAAGCAGCATTTCTGGCATCTACTCACTAGATTGCCACCAGCTGAGAACCACTGCTGTATGGTAAATAGTTTGTGGAGGGAAATACATCCACTTGCATATATGTTATGATTTGTCAAAATATATCAGTTACGTTTCTCATCATATCTTAAATATTTTTATCTAAAATATATGCAATAAAAAGATAAAATCTATGCAAGAAATCATATCCAAATGATTATATAGCTAGTTTTTAAATGTGGAAGAAAGAGTTCTATATACTAATTTCTTAAAAACCTGGATGACTGGATAACAATGAAATACGTCAAGATGAATATAATTTAGGGCTAAAAGTTTATGTGACATTTTATTTAAGATTTTTAATTTCTCCTTATTCCTTAGAAGTATATTTATGTTTTAGTATCCATTAACCTACCATACATTTCAGTAATCATAGGATCATGAACTAATAAATGACCTATGGTTGTTTGTTCTTTTTCGGTGTAATTTAGTTAAGGATTATAAACACAGTTAAATTATTTATGGAACAAATTTCAGCAATCAACTCAATTCCTGTTTGTGGGCTATATACCATAGTACCAGAAATTCTCTGGGGGCAACTGTGTTTCTTTTTTTAAAATACACAATGTATGCATATTTCATAATTATATATTATTTAAAATGTTGCACGTGGTTGTGAAAATGTACCTTAGAAAGTGAGTGTTTGAATCATGAGTCAAGTCAAGTTGCCTTACTGTTAAAAAAAGTGAGACTTCATGGAACACTACATCAAAAACTAATGATGTAATGTATGGTGATTAACATAACATAATAAAATAAAATAAATTTTCTCTTTTAACCCTGAAAAAAAAAAAAGTGAGCCTTCCATTCCTACACAAATTTATGAGTTCAAACTACAGTTCCATCAGTGCTTCTCAGACATTGATACAAATGCATAAAATATCTGTATTTCAAAATCCACTTACTGCACAGTTGAGAAACTTTGACCTAACTTTCAATTGGAAGTAATTAATCTACACCGTAATGATATGCTAAATGTAAAATATTAGTAGAATAACCTAATTCTATAAATGTTTCTCAAGTAATGAATATGCTCAATTAAAATCATGCTCATTGACTGATATCAATATTTGATAGTATCTACCTGCATTAGGCATTTTTAAAGATGAAATATGGAGAATCTTAAATCAGCATTAATGAGTTTTGCAGCCATTTTTCATGATAGGGATTATCTAACTTTGAACCACAATAAAGCAAAATGTTATCCTCCCCAAAGAGAATTCTATTGTCACTAGGTTTATATTATTAAAAAATATCATCGAGGGGTGCCTGGGTGGCTCAGTCGGTTAAGTGTCTGAATCTTGGTTTTGATTCAGGTCATGACCTCAGGGTCCTGAGATCGAGCTCTGTGTCAGGCTCCTTGTTCAGTGGGGAGTCTGCTTGAAATTCTCTCCCTCTGCCCTTCCCCCTGCTCATGCATTCTAAAATAAATAAATAAATAAATAATCATTATATTTTTAATTTCATCAGTAAAATTTGTGAAGTTTTTTTCCCTTGTTATGTAAGCACCTACATAATATTCTTGATTAAGCCTCTTGTCCCATCAACCCTAAAATTATTACTATATGATCCTCTACAGAAAAAGCTTGCCAATCCCTGATTTAAGTCATGATTCTCCAAGTTGGCCAAGAGCCCAAGTTGGGCTCAGCTGGGCAGTTCTTTTAGTCTTGGCTGGGGTCTTCCACATATGTGAAATCAACTGTTGGGGCTGATGTGGCTGCCACTACTGAGTTGCCTCAGGTAGAAAGGTTTGTTTCTCCTTCCTGTGGTTTCCCATTCTCTAGCAGACTAGCTCAGGGATTTTTTACCTAGCACCTGGACAGAGTTGCCAAAGAAAGAGTGAAAATATCTTCCGATGATCCTATGTTACTGTAGCCATATTATATTGGCCTGAGCAAATAAGCATTATGAATTGATTCCCAAACTGTTATCTAATTGTCTAAATAGCTTCTCAGTATATTCAAAGATATTAGGCCTTCTATTATGTTTATTTTCTTGGAGACATATCTCGTGGATATATCTCCAGACTGGATTGGTTGTTCTCTAGGTCTGTTACATAACTGTCTAATCTGGATCTCCCTCAGGCATATTTCTGGAAATTCACTACATCTCTCTTGA